CCAGTTTGGATTATTTATTGTAACATGCTGTTATCTAGATAAGGGCAGTGATGGGATAATCTGTTCTTTACATAGACATGCACATGTTAAGGCCTGTTAGAGTTTGGATGGTTTAGAAACAGCCTATGTAAAGCCAAAAGCTATAGTTAGCTTTAAAACCCAATACAAATTACATTTTTAATGTATAATTTAGAAAAGCGTTCAGGAAAATTGTGTTGTGCACCTGCCTTACTTTTAGTTTCTGTCCAAATCAACTCCATTGGGAGCAAACAAGTTCTAAGCCTTTCAGTATGCAATACACAATGGCGAGTTTTCATAGTGAGACATTTCCCACCTTATTGCAAACATTGTAAGACTGATGGCCCCAGTACATGGGACCTAGGCAGTATCCATGGAGATGTGAAAATTGCAGTGGGTAGAAAATTATGTTTCTTTCAAAAAACAATAATAGCATTTTTTTTGAGTGTGATATAAGAGACCGGTATAATTCTATTTCTGCAAAAAAGCAGACAAGTTTAATGAAATGCCATGCCAGTAATTGCCATGGAATATTTTTATATATCAAATATACCTTTGTGGTAAGCAGCATTCACAGAATCTTCTATAAAGCACAGTAGAGCTGTCTAAAAATATACAGTATCTATTATTTATGTATTACAGATATTTATATAGCACCAGCAATTTGCACAGTGCTTTACATACTGCACATTCACATCAGTCCCTGCCCTCAAGGAGCTTACAGTCTGATGCCCTTTCAAATGGGTTGATCAGGAGAGGATCCATGCACAGATCCTCTCCTGATCACAGCAGTATGGAGCGGATGTCACCAATGTGACATCTGTGTCCGTTCAGTTTTTAAAAAAAACTGCATTCACCATGTTTGCATATGGGGACTCTGATGTAAATGAACATATGTCCCTTTATATCAGATTACCCCCAATCCAGCACGATCCACCCAGCAAAACGGAACACTGACCCGTTTGTTTTTCTGGACCCTGCCGGAGGTTACTGGGTGTTAATGGACGGCTGCCCAAAGACTTGCATTGGGCATCTGTTCGGGTCCGCCTTAAAAACTGACAGGCGGACCCGATCGGAGAGGCCATGTGAAAGGGGCCTAAGGTCCCTATTGTACATGCATACAAGGCTAATTTAGACAAAAGCCATTTAACCTTCCAACGTGTCTTTGTAGTGTGGTAGAACACCAGAGGAAACCCATGCAAGCACGAGGAGAACAAGTGCAAACTCCTTGCAGATAGTGTCCTGACTGGGATTCGATCTGGGGACCCTCAGTGCTGCAAGGCAGATGTGCGGACCCACTACATGTCTCATTTGCATTACCAATCCCCAAAACAAGAGGTTTAGTCCTTATTTTAAAATAGCAGGCAAAGTAATGTAAATTTTTACTTTATGCCGCCCTGGCCAACTGTTCATCTAGAACCCCTAATTTATAGATCAGATATATCAGATATCCACTTATTCCAGGCTGCATACAGCTGTTTCTGGGTTGTTGGACATCATCAGTGCAGTTTATGGATACAATGGCTTTTGTGGAGTAGGGCTAAACAGACAGGTATATGGTGAGATGGACCAAATAGAAACTTAATTTCTATAAAGTGTTAAATTATCAGGACATTTAAAAATAATATTGTACAGAGCAACCTGCATTTCTATACATCTAATTATATATTTGGCCTATGAATTCAGTTTTCTCTTTAGTTTAAATGAGAGATCTGTATATTCTGATAGCCACATCCAGTTCACATCCAACAGTGTTTTCCCTATTAGTGGTACTTTTGTGCAAAGTGAAAGGATCATTCAACTTTCCCTGGGGAAAACAAATTATCTATAAGTGGAGAAATACCTTCTGTTACCTTCTTATACTTTTAAGTATTAACCTCAGCAAGACAGTTAATATAGCTTTAATTTTCATATAGAGCCAATTTTCACCAGATTTTATGCAAATACATTATGATGCATTGATTCCTATGATATCTGTAATCTCTTCAGGGAAGGAACATAAATATAATTATAGCATAACTTTGAAATGAAAAGTCATTATCATACTGCTTGAGTGATATGGCAGTCTTTCCACCAAAGAATGTTGAATAGCCAAACTAGCAGAATAATGTGAGCAGATAAAGATAGAAATACTGGCTCTGCATTATTCATATCATCTTCATGGGACTATATTCATTATTTACACACTAATTAAACAGCTCTGTAGGAACTGTTGAACTGACCGACAGTCATCTCGTACAAAAATAGACCAAACTTAGAAAGCCACTTAAAAAATATGTTAATGATTCCTTCTCAATTTATTTTTCTGAGAGCCTTTTTATAGTAATGACTGAACATTTCAGGATGAATTCCTACTCTGAAACAGCAGTGTACAAATAAACACTTCAAGTGTGCATATACGTGTGAAAGAATGCTGGGATTGAGAGAGGAGACATTGGATTCCCACTCTCACAGTTGTGCAAGTGGAAGCTGGTTCTCTAGTCAGTTAGGTTGATTTACTAGAGCTGTGTTCACTTTGAATACCCAATCTTGTACAAAGGAAATAAAAACACACATGCTTGGGTATTTAAAGTGAACAGAGCTCCACCTTATTCACCAACCTAAGTGAATATTAACGTTGAGTGCTAAATATGCTGACTGATGCACCCTTTGCTGTAAATTTATTGAAAAATAACTTTCATCAAGAGCCCAGTAAGGATATAAACATACAACGCTACACGCCAACAATTTGGTGATTGATAGCTTAAAGTCCAAATATAGCTTCAGCAAAAAGTGTGCATTTAAATTACAACTTGATAAAAACTCTGATTTTGAAATGTCCTATTTTTTCTTTATAATTCAGCCCCCAGTGGCAGCAGAATATCTTGAACTCTGACATTAAGTTGCATAAAAAGACTGCTGTTCTCTGCAGTAGCAGTGGTCACTCTGCAGTGGTTGCACATGCCCCCCTCCACCCCACAGAGTCAGAGCAAATGCAATTTAATTTTCAGGGTGCGTGAGCTTTGCTGATTGCAGAGCTGTAGTTATAGCTTTGTGGGGGTTGTGCCAGACTGCTGCAGAGAGACCACTGATATCACGCTGAGAGCCACATTATTTCTCTGCAGTGTAATACAAAGGTTCAAAATGTTCTTCTGGCCTTGGTGGTTGAATTTTCAATAAGATAACAGTAAGACATTTACAAAATCAAATATTGTATGCAGCCACAATTAATAATGCATGCTTTTACCTGAAACTAAAATTGATCCTTAAAAGCCCAAACAATCCTGGTAGTACCTAAGAAATAGAATTCCATAGTTTGATCAGTTAGCTTTCGAAATTGAGGACTTTTTCAGGGACAGTGAACACTATGGATTGTCCATAACATTATTTGTTTCCCTAAACATTTATATATGGGTATTTACATTAGACAAAAGCTTTTCCCAATATGCATGTGAACCAACTTATGTGTGCAGCAAGAACTTGCAGATCCACTACCATTACACTTCTTCTCATCAGCTGTTTGCATGTGCAGCAAAGTGATGTCAAGATCTTTATACTCTGATCCCTTTCTTCCAGCAGTTTCTGAAAAAAGATTCCTGGCTTGCAAATTCTTACACAGTAAATGTGTAACACCTTAGGGCCAATGCACCATTAAATTTGCTGAAAGGCCAGTTATACAGCCAAATTCCATATGCTGTATTCTTACTCTTTATGATTAGCTTACCTTGAGACTTTATAAAATTAATTTATTCTCTGGGATGAGCACATGTTATTGTGTTAAGGATAGAGCATGGTTTTATCATTGTATTTATGATTCGCATAGAAACAAAAACTAGACAGTGCTGTGAGAAGGAATGGTGGCTAAACATAAGCAAATCTTTCAAAGAGAACAATGCAGCATCCATATGTTTTTCTTTTTTCAGATGCTAGGCACTATTTGAGTTATATTTTTTTAAATGTAAACTACTTTACTGTAATTTTCTTTTATTGCACACTATTTTATATGTTCATTTCATTCAATTATTTAAAACCCTTCCCGATCCTCAATGTAAATTAACATACTTCTGACAAGTACCCCTTGCTAGGGTGTTAATTGGAGTGTAAAATTAAAGATAGGACACCTGTTGTAGAAATCCTAGATGTTGGGGCAGCATACATGCTATGGACCAAGAGAAGTATATGTCCTTGGAAGGTCATTGTTTGCATTACTGCAAAAAGCCAGGGTAAGTCAACACTGTGAATGCCTTTTTTACATCTAACGTAACTATGTTAATATCCTGTTTTAGTGGCCATTCGCATACTCTTATAAATGTTGGGCTGGTCAACATCTTATTTTAGTTTATTGAGAAATCTTTCAACCTCTTCAGGGATAAGTAATAAATATTCCATCCATTTTGTGCATAAGGATGCTCGATATGCCAACATGAAGTGCATTTGTTTTTTGTTATAAAAAAAATGATGCAGACCTTGCTAAACGCTTTATGTTTGTGTGCGACTTAAGCAGAATAGTCCACAAATATCAAAAGTTTGTGTCCATCAAACTGTAGCTCGTTAGCTTTCATGAAGCTCTCTAAGATTAGCATTTTATCTGCATAGTTGAGGTATTTGACAATTACGCATCTATGGGTTTTCCTTTCTTTTCCTCAGATATGAGAGTGGCACACAGGTGTGAGAAGGAATTCACCTAAAGTCCCCTGACACCCCTTTAATTCTGAGATTACTTCTCCTGGTTCTATTTTCTAGGTCCTCAATCCTATTTTGCAGATCCAGGTTGTGCTTGTCTAGTGTGCTGAGCTGTGTCTGTGTTTGTTATAATTCATTCTATAAAAATTAAATTCTCTTTTCTGGCTCTGTGAGTTTCTTCGCTTGGGCGAGTATGTAATGCCTGAGTTGTTGTATGCCTTGATGCAAACCCTTATGCACAATGTCAGCGATACTGTGTTTTAAAAGTTTTGCCCACACTTAGGCCATTTTTGAGTATTTACCTCTGGATCCATCCTCAGAAGAAGATGGAGAGAATCCATGCTGGCTCATGGGTGTGCACAGCTCCGCCATCTTGTCCCGTTCTGATGAATTGGACGAGGGAGGCCATGGCATTGAGTGTGATCTGGAGTGAATTTTAATTAGGAAGTGGTTAATCTGCTTTCCCCAGCACAGCAGGAGTAAAGTGATGTTTGCTTGCACCTGAGGCAGTTATGGAGTACCCAGCTTTTAATCGATATTTCCTCTGGAACTGCAGAAGCTCCTTACCTCTGCTTCCACTACATTGCCACTAAGTCAAAGGTGTTAATAAGGTACCGTTCTTCCATGAGCCTGGGACTGATGCCGGTGATCCAGGATGGCGGATGGACTTCAGGATGAAGAACGGGTTGGAGGTGATCAGAAATCTAATTTGCCATCCTCCTTCTGCTGAAACAAAGCCTTTTACTTTCAGGTAAGAGTTGTCAAATCCTGGCTGGTATTAGCTCGAAATACAAGCAGATCAGAATGTTCTGTCCCTGATGTTTCTGTACTAATGGCAGAGCAGACATCAGGGGTCTGATGCACCCCACATGTATTCATAAAAGCATCAGCCTGCTTGTGATAGTAGCAAATAGATATAACATGTTTTGTTTTTTATAATACAGTAAAATAATACAATACAAACAATTGAAAAAAAAGGCTATTCCCTTACGCACACACTCATACATATACGGTCAGGATGCATAAAGGCACGTAAACCCCATTTTCATATTACACATGCCAACATGTGCTAGATGTAGAAGAATCATTTTAAGGTCATAGTTCCAGTTTAGCTGTCATGGTCTTAAATGCATTACCTATTTAAAATTTTAGGCATACACAGTGTGTGCCTAAAAGCAGTTAGAAGTTTTGGTAACGCATACAATATTTAGCTTAGAAATATTTTTTTTTAAGCTGACAGTCTCTCTTTTTTCTCATTATATTATAGAGTACATTTATTATTTTTTTTCCAACACAAGTGGATTTACGCTTTGAATCTCAAGTTTTTATGGTGCCAAGATTTTAACATGTCCTTACTTTTTTAAACAATATCCTGCTTTTTTTGCAGGAATTCTACTTGTGCTATATTGCTTTGTGTTGGAGGTCAGCACAACAAAGCTGCAGTCTGGTGATTACTAATGAAAATTGCCTTTGTCATGTCACTTGTATATATTATGACATTTTTTCTAATTTTAAGTGACGACAGGGTAAAAGTTCTTTTTTTTTCTAACTTGTCATGCTGCCAGCCTTTGTATTCATCACATTGGATTAAATGTAAGAAATATAACTGGTGACTAAGAATTATATTGTTTCCTTTATAGCAGAAGGATAAATTATCAGCGTGTCTCTCAAATATCTCAAATAGATTAAAAGTTTGTTGAAAACTATAAACAACAGTGCAAAAGAGAATTTTATTTTCTTATTTTTATGTTTCACTGGTTGATTTGTGGCAGCCTGCCATTGAGCTAGACAAAGGAATGGAGAAAGGGCTACTTGATTAATATGGTTTGAGCTTGTTTAGTGCACTTTAGAGCTTAGTTTATAAAGCAAAGACTAAAGTTCAGTAATCTATAGCAACCAATAAAAACTGATTGTTTACTTTGTTTTATGGTACGTTGCACATCATCATCATCATCTTTGCTTTTACCTAAGTCCATATTGAGGAACGCAGAGGGGTGTAACTACAGATCATAGGTCCACATAGCAACATTTTGGAGAAAAATTAAACAAGGGTTTAGTAGCACTGATAATAACTACCGCAATGCTATAATTATTAGTACCCAATTACACTATAACTCTAATACAAAATTCTTGAAGCAGTTTTAACTTAAGAGATGCACAGGGATTTGTTTACAACCTGAGGAAGACTTCATTAGATATTAGAGTTAATTTATGTGCCGATTGGAGATACAATTTAAAGCAGTAACTTAATCCTCCTGTCCCATCGCACTCCTGACCGGACAAAAACCCAAATCCAACTGGGTGGGTGCGGTAGTGACAACGGATGCCTCCGTGAAATGTAGATAGATGAAAGTAGTCACTCACACTCACTATTGGAGTGCGAGTGACTACTTTCATCTATCTACAATTTAAAGCAGATCTTCTTTCTCTTCATTTCTATATGCCACCCTTACTCACATGAGTAAGGTGTTAAGATGTTTTTGGAGCCATGAGCCACTTTTTACCAAAACCTGTGTATTAGCTCTGCCATTTTTTCAAGCACACCAAAGTTAACAGGCAACTGTATACTGTCTGTGAGACCCAGGATGGAAAGAAATCCTAGGTTTGTGCAGTGAAGCTGCTTTTGTTTAGGACAATCACATGATCCTCTACAGCCATGTGATCTGCTCTGTTAGTAAATAGAACTCGGAGGCCTGCAGAGCAGCATCAGATAGAATGCTATTGTAGGAAATCAATACTGATTTTGATTTTTTTCTTGTAGTTAAAAAGCCTTAGCTTTCTCAGTGATTGGTATACCAAACCTATATAGGGAAATTCCATAAGACTTTATCATAGAGCCTGCTGGAGGAGTGGTCAAGCTGTGATATCAGTAGAGGGGAAGGATGGGCTCTGTAAGCTGTTGGCATGAGAAGATTGCTCATATTTGCATATGGATTCAGATAGCATAAAAATTGTACTTGTGTTCCCTACCCCCTCTATAATTTTTTCTGGTAAAATATAAAAAGCCAGGTTTGCCAGAGCTGTGTTGAGGATAGGGAACACCAGTATCCAAGCAACCTTGAAGACTCAGTGGTCTAAATTTGACATTTTTAAAACCCAACCAAATTAATAAAATATTAGATGAATACTTTTGTCCTTAAATATTGTGTAAAAAAATAATTTTCATAATACCTTATTATATTATTATAAGTTCAGAAAATGTCAGTCTTTTAAACTCACTTATTGGCCCATCTTTCCTTTGCTTGTGTGGCTAGTCATTTCTACAGGAACAAAAATTAGTCCTGCTCATTTGAAAAATGATCTCCACCATGGCTTTATAAGACATTTTGAAGTCGGCTAAAAATGATCATAGAACAAATCTAGACATCTATTCTTCGCTTTCCTGTTCTCTTAATACATTTTGTTCTGTTTCCATGCAGTATATTCATGCTGGTGTAAAGAATAACTTCCTGAAAAGAAATTAAACATACAGAACACTTAGAGCTTTCCAAATAATGTATTCCTTAGTGTAATACAGGCTATAATCAGGATCATTTGTAAAACAGTGAACAGAACAATGCCCATGTGTGAAGTACACCCATAAGTGTATTCACTGAACTGGTGACAATCAGAATCATCCTCCCCCTGCATAAAAACTGCTTAAAAAACTAAAGCAAATTAAAAAGTACCTCTGTCATGTGGTTAAAACATTTAACAAAAATGGGACCCACAAAAGAAGAGGCTAATCTCATTGCCAGTACCTCTGATCTTTGCCCAGAGTTATACCTGTCTCAAGATTCTTCACGTTCACTGTGAAGAGTGTTGGATGTTAAGGAGTGTTGGATGTCTGCATCTCCCACAAGCTGCAGTGTTTCCATCCTACCACAGTCTACCGGGGACCAGTCACCCGTTAGTGTGTTGGATTTGAAGTGGCTGATGCCCCACAAGAGAGAGAGGATTAAAGAAAGGGGTAGCATACAGGTAGAGGTGAAAATAAAACCTCTTCTTTTGTGAGTATACTTTTTTTATTTCTTACATACATTTCCAATGACAGAGTTGCCTTAAAATAGGGCAGGCGCCCATAGTTACAAAGTTCAAAGGAAACATGTATGTACTAAATGCCTTGAGCAGCAGTCGTAAGATTTTTTAGTTGCTTTTTCCAGTCTAGGTTACAGTTTAAAAGCTGACATTTGATCAGTTGCTGTCAATTAATCTGTCATCTTGTCTCTTAGTAAGGACCATATTTAAAAAATAAATATCTCCTACTTCTGCAGTGGGTGGACTCTTACCATAGAACGCAAGCATGCAGAGCATACTTGCACATTATGCCACACTTACCTTTTAGAGTGACCTCCTCCAGCGATTCAAAGTCTATTATCCCTCCAGGCACTGCTAGCCTTCTTCCAGGCCCAATATTTTACAGCTTTGTCATTTGGCAGTCACTTATGATAACTCCTTACCATGGAGTCACATTATCCTGACATTTACAGATGCTGTGAATGAGCTGTGGGTGTACACTACACTGGTTACGTGCCACAGACACTTAGCATGTCTCTTCTGCCAAAAAACTCCTAGAAGTTTTTTATTTTTGACTTAAATTTCACTTTAAAGATATAATATATATTATTAGTAGACAATACATTTTGTAATATAAGGTTATTAGAATTGGCCTATTGTTTTCAAACTACAGCTTCTGTGAATTTTTTTGTTACACTGTCCAAATGTTCTAATATTGATTACTTACAAAATGACAGCTTGGGGCATTATATATGCCATTTTGTGCACAGCAGTTCACTTAAATCTTATGTCCTGTTTGTAGTATTGGTTCCCTGCATTTACTAAGCTACAAGTCAAATTGCAGGCATCCTCTGCAGTAGGAGTTTCATTACTGGTGAGATCATTTCTAATGCTCATCCTTGCCTAAAGGGATGCAGGCACTGCACGTTTCACTAAGAATGTTTAGGTGATTATAATGAAAGCAAATTATTTTGCGAAAGAAAAACAGTACTCTTTTTCAGAAGAAAAAATTGTATGAATCAGCAGAAAAAAAATTCCCTTGAGGAGATTGTAGAGTTTCACTTTAAATACAAATCCACAAATGAACACAAAAAAAATGTCAAAACACAAAATTCTGTCAGTACTTCAGAACTGTCAGAAAGTGCTCCCATTTTTGTCAAAGTGAAGAACATTTATTTTATTATCTTTTAGAGTTATCAAATGAAGTGTTCCAATTTTATTCAAGTTCTGAGATAACTTGCAGGCTTGTAGTTCAAACATCACACATATCTCCTGCAAAACATTTCATTGGAATTGTCACTCCTCAACTTTCAATAAGACTGTGAGAACAGTTTGTTTTTAATATGTTTTAGTACACTGTTATTTTGAATTAATATGGAAAATGTTATTTGTATGTATGACTTAATACAAGCAAATATACAGTATATATTATATGTA